GTGGTTCTTCTGGTGCAGGCGAGGAAGCTGGTGTTACTGAGAGGCTGCTTTGTGTTACGCTAAATTGTGTAGGTTTGCATACTTTGGTGTTACCATGTAGTTATGTCCCTCATGTTACACCAGTGTGTAATGGGGACATATTATGGTATGGTTGAACTGTAATTGCTCTGTACTAAATGTATAGTGCTTTACGCTGTTATATTACTGATAATGATTAATTACATAAACTTAAGAGCAATTTGAAATGTCCCATTGTAATTCCTATAAGCTTTTTAAGCTATTGCATAGCCTCTATCGCGGGCCTTGAGCGCGGGGACCGAATCCAGAAATTCCGTAACGAAAAAACCTCACGCTCCCCATTCCGACGGGCACGGAGGTGTGGCTTGAAGGCCGTGAATTGTCTGACGTCGTTTCTTTTCGGCAGTCTTCGACACGGTGTTTGTGTGCGTGCAACTAGACTTATTGTACGACTCTACGAAGCTCGCACGAATCGAGACGAGCTGCTCCGAAATCGGACGAATACATAAGCAGCTGTTTATGAGAAAGTATATAGGTGTATAGGTATTTATGTACAACAGTGAATAGCTGTACTTGTAAAATTTGTGTATAAAGTGTTTTGAATATGAATGAACAAAGTGCATTTATTATTTATTTATTTAATAAAAGAAAAAAATTTGTTTTCTTATCGGTCACCACGCTCAAAAAGTGTAACTTGAATTAATATCAAAGAAAAAGAAATACTGCATAAATAAAATAAATAAATAATTATAATTGCATAAGTTGATACAAAATGCTATGCAATAGCTTTACCGCGGCAGTCCCCGAGTGCCACACATCTTTTTTTTTATTAAACTGAAGTGACAAACAAACTTATAGCCCTCTTGATGGTAAGGACGCATGAACACCTGCATGAAGAAGTAGTTTAGTTAAACTTAAAATTATTTTAAAGAAAAAGAATCTAGTACTGTGATGGTTATTTTTGTCTTTACGCTGCAGCTATGTTATAGTTGTAGCACAAATGGGTTGGCTCGACCTGGGTAGAACCACACTCTCACAGAATACCAGTGTAAAGCTGCTGTGTTTCATATGGTGAGTGTAGAGAACCAGAGACCGTTTTTATTGGAATCAAGGCATTCCATCATAGTCCTCGGTGGTGCCAATGTGTGGTGAAAATGGTGCATTTGCATTTTGATCCTTAATTGAGGATAAATGTAAATGTGTATGATGGGCCACATCATTCACTTACCATCAGGTGGACTGTGTGCTCGTTTGTCACCCAATGCTATAAAAAAATGGCATGGAAAAGAAACTTGCATAACTAAATTTAGCTTTTCCATCCATAATTTAATCAGGGATTGGACTGTAATTTTTTTATGAGCATTAGTATGTAATGACGGCTCCGTGGCGCAGTGGCTTAGCAATGAGTGGCTGTGCGGGGGGCCGCGGGTTCGAGTCCCGCACGGAACAAGTATTTGTTTGTCCTACAAATAATTGTTCCGGGTCTGGATGTGTGTTCTTGTGTAATTTATGTTTGTAAACTGCCTCCGCGATAAAGGAGAAAATCCTAGTGTAACATTTATAAAAAAAAAAAACTTATTTCAATGTATGATAGTCCACTGTTTGACAAGGATCTCCCTTAGGATTTGCCTTAAACATCATGTTTGGTATGTGAATTAACAATTGTGGTACTAGACATCATGCATCTTATGTATCTAATAACAGATATGTTACAAGCTTCAAAATCTATATAGGATACCCTATGGTACCTTTTAACCTGTTCGCCAAGCGAGCGCGCGACATGTTATACTCCCGTTCGCTCGGGACCGTAATGGCGGGAAAATTTGCAAATTAGCAAATTTTTTGCTATATTGCAAATTTTGCTATATTTTCACTTTGAGACGATATTTATGGATAAAACTTACAGGAATTCTTGTTGAATGTATAAACTATCGAATAAAATTATTTTTGGTTGCTAGAAATTGTAATAAAATACGTAAATTACCCTGTATAGCATATTAGTAGTATATACTTCAATTTTAGTGACAAAATTACTACTAATTTGAATTCTACACTTTTGTTTTTAGAGAAATTTATATGAAAATGTTTGGAAATATGTATATTTTTATGTTTTATGTGTTTCCATTCGTTACTCATACCAAAATATTAAAATATTAAAAAATTAAAAAAAAAATAATAATAATATTTTATCTGTATGACATTTCGAACAATATTTCAAACATATTTTTGTGTGAATTTGAAATAAATACAACGTCAAGTTATTTGAAATATGTAAGAAAACTATTTTTACTTCCATTTTACACTAAAAATAAATGAGAATTTGGAAAATAACACATTTATGACCCAACCGCCAAAATGGAGCTTCCGGATTTTGAAGAACTTTTGGCAATTTACTTTTCACTTTTTATACCACAAATTATATATCTACGTGTTTACTATATTACAAGGAATATAAAAAAGTATAACACTTTCGTTTTTAGTCCAGACACAAATATAAAATTCTATAAAAAAGACGGAGCACCTTCATCAAAACGACACGTGGAACGCCGAAAGTTCAGAGTGATTTCTTTTTTTTTTTCTAAGAAACATTGCCAGGTTATGGTTTAAAATAAAAGAGCATATCTTTGTCTTTGATACTATTATCTATTGCATAGTGTCTTTGGTTTTGTTTAAAACGAAAAAATAGTTTTTTCATAGGTACACACGTTTACATAATTCTGATCTAATTAGCGCACAACTTGGCGGACGGAAGGATGGTATTGTACGATCAAAAGTGCGCATGGCTTGGTTAACAGACACCTATAGGACGAAATGGGGTTTTGGATTCCTATAAGCCACTATCTAAATATCTACTAACAATTACACTGAAGTATTTTCTATAGTGACCAGATAAAATGTGGATGATAATAATAATATCCTCTAGACCAAATTTCGGTCACAGCGGTCAGCCTCAAGAGAGACGAGTAATCTGCGCAGAACAGGATTAAAGTGCCCAAGTGTAGGCACAAGCACAGATGCACTCTATTCCCTCTTTTTCATAGTCCAATGGGACGGTGACAGAAGGGAGATCAAGCGTAGGACCAATCACTTTACATGCCTTCATATGCACAAGAGTGAAACACAAGTAACTTCTTGACTCCAGGGTGCTTTACTGAGAATTTTGTGACTGAAAAACCCAATGAGTGAGTTCTGACCTGATCCAAGATTCGAACCTGAGACCTCATGATAGCAATCGCATTTACGACCACTGGATCATGGAGGCAGTCAATATAGATTATAAGATGCAGGTAGCTGAAGACTATACTGGCCATCTTTTGAGGAGGCCTTTGTTCAACAGTGAATTTTATTGAAATATGCAGTCTTAATGCCTCTTTAGATAAGTGATCTATTACTGTTACAGCCTTTTAGTCTACTTGGAACGTAGGCCTCCCCCATAGGTTGCATTATAAGGGGGGTATTCGCCATAGTTGCCACGCTCGGCAAGCGGGTTGACGACTGCAGTTTTTATTTATAGTCTTTATTAGGAAGACTGCTGCCCATCTCCTGGTTTGTTTGGATTTTTAAAATAATTTCCTTTCTTAAGCTGGTTAAAAACTTAAAAATTACATTTCCAGGGAGTCATCAAGACAATTTGTCTTGTATGGAGGAGGATGAAGAGGAAGATGACATCATGATAGACATGAATATGTTGATGAATGGGGATGCTAAATGAAGAAAAACAACTGCTTTTTATTATTTCGGTGCACATACATAGGGGCAGTGATGGGTTCACATAATCTTTCAAGGCGATGTAAGAAGCATTAACATTGCAGGTTACTGATATTTTGTAAATGTCTGGTCTAAAATGGAGCAATTGTAAGATGCTTTATCAGTGTTGAACAACTCAGTCTTGCTGTTATCGTACAAGTTATTATATGCTGAAAAATAACCACTTTCAGGCATTTTGAAATGCAAGTTGATTTTGATTTTGTTGTTATTGTTACTTTTTAAACAGCTACTTTTATATATGTAATACTTTAAAAGTACAACAAATAAACTGTGTAACAAAATAAGGATAAAACCAATGTTTTATTGTCTTTTATAGAACCATACTTTATCCATATTTACAGGGTTATTTTGAGATAACCGGCGAAATTTGCAGAGAAGGTTCAGTATAAGTAATATAGGCAAATGGTGAAGAAAAATTAATTAAAAATATTCTCAAACAGCCTGTACTTTTAGTTTTTAAATTTAAAGCGTGTGGTAATGCATTATTTTAACTGATTTTACTGCGCACGCACACGTTCGTAACGGGCGATCGGTAGGCAAAAATATTGTTGCCCATAAATCACATTCGGTACGTGGGTATCCAGGTTTCTAGAAACCTGGATACCCACATATCGAATGGAAACACATATTCGATAAAATAATCAAAAAAAGGAGGATACGAAAACGCTGGCAAACAACCAGAGACCCTGTGGCGAAAAAACAACTCAATCACGCCAACAGACAGCTAAAACACATCCTAGAGAAAGATCGTAATGACGGATTTCACAATTACCTCACCGGCCTGGATACTACTGCTTCCTCGGACTACTCTTTGTGGAAAGCCACCAGAAGACTAAAACGGCCTGTCAACGTCTCTCCTCCTATAAGAAAACCAGATGGTACCTGGGCGCGGACAGACCAGGAGAAAGCCAGAACCTTCTCAGAACACCTCTCCAACGTCTTTACCCCTCACCCATATGACGGCTCACCAGAAGATGCAGCAGAAATTACTAACCACTCAAATAACCCAAAAGATGCCTCTTAAAATTTACAAAAACAGAAGTTGCTCGAATTATTAGAAAATCAGACCCAAAAAAGGCTCCAGGATACGACCTCATTACAAACCGGATATTACAAGAACTACCTGAATCTGGCATAACTTTCCTTACTTCACTATTTAATGCCATGACCAGACTGCAGTTTTTCCCCTGGAGTGGAAGGTCGCACAAATTGTAATGCTGCTAAAGCCAGAGAGACAACCTGAAGAAACAAAATCGTACAGGGCCATAAGTCTGCTACCCATCCCATCCAAAATATATGAATCCCTACTGCTACAACGAATCTTGCCTATACTCAAAGAGAAGGAGCTAATCCCTGACCACCGGTTTGGAATCCGCAGTAAGCATGCCACTATCGACCAAGTGCACAGGCTAACAAAATACATCATGGAGTCGCTGGAAGGTAAATCTTACTGCGCCAGTGCGTTCCTGGACATATCTCAAGCGTTTGACCGCGTGTGGCATGAGGGATTGTTATTTAAATTGAAAAATGCACTACCAGATCACCTTTACGGGATATTAAAATCATTTCTCCAGCAGCGCCATTTCATAGTACAACAAGGGGAAGCTCTGTCAGATCTCTGCCCTATAAAAGCAGGAGTCCCGCAGGGCAGTGTACTGGGTCCCATACTCTATTTACTTTTCACTGCGGACCTGCCGACATCTGAATCATTAATCACTGGAACCTTTGCTGACGACACCGCTATACTGGCTACTCATAGCGACCCAAAAATAGCCTCACAAATACTTCAAAAAGGGCTAAATGACATATCCCACTGGCTCAAAAAGTGGCGGATAAAAGCAAATGAAACCAAATCAGTCAACGTAACGTTCACCCTAAGAAGGGGCTCTTGCCCCCCAGTCACACTTAACAACATTGTAGTTTCACAGGCAGATCATGTGAGATACCTTTAACCGTGGTAGAGCCACGCGGCAGCTTGCTGTCGCACGTATGGGCCGGCTCAAACCGGGGTGGTACCACGACCTCACAGAATACACCACAGAAGTGGAAGCTCTGCTTCCGCGTTTCGTCTGGTGAGTGCAGGTGGCCGGAGGCCCAAATCCCCCCCCCCATCAACATGGTAGCGGAATTATATTATAGACTACCCCAGGAGGGTACCAGCACCCCTGGAGAATCCCTCGCTGAGCATCCACGACCATGTTTCTCCACTTCTGAGCGTGGGTGCTCAGGCTGCCCCGCGTATTGTGGGGGGGGGGGGGGCAAAATTCCGCTCAAGACTAAAACTGCTCGGGGCAAACGGAGCAACAAGACCAAGGCGACCCCTGCCACGCAGTCCGTGAATTTCTGCAATATCAGGGGACTTCACTCTAACCTAAACGCCGTCCACTACCATCTCGAGACGGCGAGGCCGGCTCTGCTCTTTCTGACCGAGACGCAGGTGTCCTCTCCGGCTGATCTCTCGTATCTCTCCTGCCCGGGGTACAAACTGGAACACTCATTTGTGCCTCGGGCTGGAGTTTGCGTTTACGTCAGAGAGGACATCTGTTCTCGACGCCTCGGCAGACTTGAAGGTTCGGACCTGTCCATCCTTTGGCTACGCGTAGACAGCGACGACCATCCACGCGTCTACGGGTGCCTCTATAGGTCCCATAGCGGTAATGCCGAAACAGACCGACTCTTCGACCACGTCCAAATGGCTGCAGATTCGTTGCTACAGCAGATCCCCTCCGCAGAGATCGTGATCCTCGGCGACTTTAACGCCCATCACGCCGAATGGCTCGGGTCATGTTTAACCGATCATGCGGGGAGATCTGTTCATGATTTTGCCTTGGCATATGGTCTGACACAACTGGTTACTTCGCCTACGCGGATTCCAGATGTGGAGGATCATGCACCTTCCCTGTTGGACCTTCTGCTGACCTCTCACCCGGACGGATATCAGATTTCCGTCGACGCCCCTTTAGGCTCCTCGGACCATTGTCTTGTACGGAGTGTGGTGCCACTCACGCTGAAATCGCGGTTGCATTCTGCAGGCTGCCGCCGTGTTTGGCACTATAGGTCAGCCGATTGGGATGGGATGCGGTCTTTCTTTGCATCCTACCCTTGGGGGCGGGTTTGCTTCTCGCCGGACGATCCCAACGTTGTTGCGGATTCTGTCGCTGATGCGGTACTTCAGGGCATGGAACTATTTATTCCTTCCTCTGTGGTGCCCATTGGAGGCAAATCTCAGCCATGGTTTGGTCGCTCCTGTAAAATAGCATCATGCTGTAAGCAGGAGTGCTACCAAGCCTGGGCTGACGCATCAGCGTCCAGGGATGTAAACACTAGCGCTCTAAAAAAGAAGTATAATTCCGCCTCTAGGTCCTTCAAAAGAGTCATTGCCAAGGCAAAGTCAGAGCACATAGGCAGAATTGGCGAGAGACTAGTTCGTCTTCCTTCTGGAACCCGTGCATTCTGGTCTCTCGCCAAGGCTGTCCAGGGGAATTTCTGTCAGCTATCTCTTCCATCTCTGCACAGGGAGGACGACTCACTGGCCCACACCGCAAAGGAGCAAGCCGATCTTCTAGGCTCTTTCTTTGCGTCTAACTCGACTCTCGATGACGGGGGGAGTACGCCGCCGACCATCCCGCGGTGTGAGTGCTCCATGCCGAAAGTGCAGTTCACTCAGGGTTCGCAAAGCACTCCTCTCCCTGGACATCCACAAGTCGAGTGGGCCTGACGGAATCCCCCCAATTGTGCTGAAGACGTGTGCTCCAGAGTTGGCACCGGTTTTAACGCGTCTTTTCCGGTACTCCTACTCCCTAGGCGTAGTCCCAAAATCATGGAAGACGGCTTTCGTCCACCCGATCCCTAAAAAAGGCGACCGCTCAGACCCGTCCAACTACCGGCCTATCGCCATCACCTCCTTGTTCTCCAAAACAATGGAGTCCATTGTAAACTGCCAGCTCATGAGGTACCTTGAGGATCACCAGCTGATTAGTGACCGCCAATACGGTTTTCGCCGTGGTAGGTCAGCTGGTGATCTTCTGGTCTACCTAACCTAACTCACAGATGGGCGGAGGCAGTAGAGTCTAGGGGGAGGCATTGGCCGTTAGTTTGGACATTGCGAAGGCCTTCGATCGGGTTTGGCACAAAGCGCTTCTTTCGAAGCTCTCTTCCTATGGGCTTCCCGAGAAATTGTGCGATTGGATCACCAGTTTTCTTGCAGATCGGAGCATCAAGGTCGTTGTAGACGGTGCAAGCTCCGATTGCAAGCCTATTAATGCTGGTGTTACACAGGGCTGCGTGCTATCGCCAACGCTGTTTCTTCTGCATATCAATGATATGTTGCAAACCCGTAGCATTCATTGCTATGCAGATGACAGCACTGGTGATGCTCTTTACACCGGCCGAGCCAATATTTCTCGGGAAAACGTCTCCGAGTGCCGGGACAAACTTGTGTCTGAGGTCCAGTCTCTGCTGGACAGAGTCTCGGATTGGGGGCGACTAAATCTAGTCCAGTTTAACCCCCAGAAGACACAAGTTTGCGCGTTAACCGCTAAAAAGAACCCCTTTGTCGTATCCCCTCAGTTTCAAGGCACTCCCCTTGTTGCCTCAGCCAGTATCGGAATCCTCGGCGTCGACATATCGAGTGACGTGCAGTTTCGTGGTCACTTGGAAGGGAAGGCCAAATTGGCCTCTAAAAAGCTTGGCGTGCTCAGCAGAGCGGGACAGTATTTCATGCCGGCACACCGCCTGCAACTTTACAAGGCGCAGGTTCGGCCGTACATGGAATACTGTTCCCATCTCTGGGCTGGGGCTCCCCAGTACCAGCTCCTTCCACTTGACCGCATCCAGCGCAGAGCGGCTCGAATCGTCGACGACCGAGTGCTTTCCGATCGGCTCGATTCACTGGCGCTGCGAAGAGATGTTGCATCTCTTTGCGTATTTTATCGCATCTATCACGGGGAGTGCTCTGAGGAATTGTTCGGATTAATCCCAGCCGCCAAATTTCGTGAACGCACTACACGGCAAACGTCCCGATACCATCCACACCATCTGGATGCTTGGCGGTCCACCACTGTACGTTTCAAAAGGAGTTTTCTTCCGCGTACAACCTCTCTGTAAATTTACCACCGGCGATTTTTTCTGGACCGATACGACCTGGGGACCTTCAAGAAAAGAGCTCCTTTCTAAAGGGCCGGCAACGCACCTGCAATTCCCCTGGTGTTGCGGTTGATCATGGGCGGCGGTAGTCACATAACATCAGGTGAGCCACATGCTTGTTTGCCCCCTCTTCCATAAAAAAAAAACCTTGGATTGTACTTGGACAAAAGACTTACCTGGCAAAAACATATTTTCACTAAGAGAAAGCAACTCGGTATTCAAACACGAAAACTCTACTGGCTCATAGGACGAGTCTCAATTGTCTCTGGAAAACAAACTTCTGTACAAGGCAATACTGAAACCTATCTGGACGTATGGAATCCAACTTTGGGGTACTGCATCCCATTCAAACATCGAAATCTTACAAAGGTTTCAAAATAAAGCACTCCGCATGATAACTAATGCCCCCTGGTATGTGCCCAACGAATTACTACATCATGATCTATGCCTGCCTACTGTGAAACAGGAAATCCTACGCCATACTAGAACTTATAAAGAGCGCATCGAACGTCATCCAAATATTCTGGCCCGGCCACTCATGGCAAACCACAACAAAGCGCGACGCTTAAAGCGCAAGATACCACAAGATTTAATATAAACACAAACACAGTAAACCCAGTTACTGTTTAATAATGAGGATGTGACACAGGTCACATACCGAGCACGCCAGCGATATCACCAACAAACATACTGCTGAATGTCCCTCAAAGGCGACAGATTGTTGTAAATAAAGGATACAAAAAAAATCACACTCAATTTGTGTGTCATAACTTTTTTCTTCATAATCGAGCGCATGAAAAATTGTAATTGACAATTTTATTGGCACCAGTGACATGCTGTGGTTGCAACATAATAAAAGTATTCGTCTTTTATCATTTATACAACCATTATTTTTACTGATACAGCCTATTAGAAATCATGTCATGAGCATAGGCCTCCCCCGTACACTGCCTCTTAGATGGGATATTTGCGATAGTTGACACGCTTGGATAGCAGATTGCCAACTGCAGTTTTTTGTCATTAATAAGAAAACACTGCTGCCCATCTCCAGGATTCCCTCTATCACCTCTTACGACAACCATGGCTTAGCGGATATTCTTACACCGGCACTACACAACAAACTGCTATTTTATAAACGACCATCTAAACAACACCAAATTTAATAAATATACAAATAAATAAAACCATATATATTAACAAAGAATTTAATCAATTCAGCTTATACAAGATTTTTCACATATTAATTCTTTTAGTATTAACTATGTACACAGTTTATACAACAGTAACAAATGAAATAACATTTATTTAGCGTAACAATACAAATTAAACTCTTTTTACGACGATACATTGAAGGCATAGGAATTCGACGTTCTGTCTTATGTTATTAAATAGACTTCAGGAAGTTACCACTTGAGTGAATTTCTATTAAAGATTCATGCTGTCTTTTTCTTACATAAATAAGCTTTTATGATTAATTCCAAAACATTTAGAAACATTCAACTGTTTGCCCATTATATATTATAATTTTTTAAACTTTGTATGTATAGCACTACGATGAATTGGTTAATACAATGTAGGAAGAAACAGCATATTATCTTCATTTTAGTTATTAAATAAAAATTCGCAGTGGACCTTCAGTACCATACACTTTAAAAAATAATTAGGCACTGTTATTCGATAAATGTTAGATAAATTAGCTTTACAATTTATATGGAAGTATGTTTCTTACAACAAATAAATTAGTTATGAGCTGTATCAACAATCCAAAATATATTTAAATTGGCAATACCGTCCCATCGCTACTCAGTCTTTCATAATACCAACAAAAAATCCAGTCACTAAATTCTAAAAAGACAATAAATAAATTAATTACAATAAGTAACTATAACATAAAAGCATATTTGTACAGCTGTAATGGTATTTTTCTAGATGAGGTTTAACATTGTACCTACTTTATATAAAAATACATCAAATATATAGAGTTTAGGCGGGTGCACACTGCAACAACTCAACTTATCAATTTAATAGTCGATTTTATATTGTGTCATGCACAGGTCATTTTTCTAAACTATCATAAGCAAATAATGTTCCAGGCGTTTTCGACTACATTTATATGCATAAAGAAAAACGATCTTTACAGTACATTACACAAAGCTCACATTTCGATGCCAAAACAAAGTTGGTGTTACTTGTTAGTATGCGACGGCCATTAAGTGAATATAGCATCGCAAAGTTAATCCTTGCTCTTATTTATTTAAGATGTAAGTCCTTTTTAAGGGAGCAAACAAAATATTCGAAAGTACTAAGGGCTTCATACATGCTCTGCATTTTGGAATGTGTATTAACCATTTATATGGGTAGATAAATACTTGTCTGTTATTTTATACTGGCTAAATTAATAAAACGCTTAAAGTTTTAATAAAAAATATCACATACTGTATACAAAATCGATTCCAATTGTAAAAAAGATTTTACAAGTTTTCGTATAAGTTTTTAAATGTTGTGTTACAATTTACATGGAAAACATTACTATATAGGAGTAGGAAAGGGTAGCAGTGACAGCTTCAACGCTATTGGGTATGTTCCAAAATAGAACCCGGTGTACCGTCCAATGCAAATGACGTCATGAATCGACGCTATACTGGTGATTCGTTCCAAAAAATAGGACAGTACATTTACAAATACATTTGACGGCATACATTTGCGCCATACTTGAAGTGTTGGCGATTATTTTGTCATTTTCTGCTCCAAAAATCATGACATCCTCCTAACGTAGATACTAGCAATTATTCTATATTTTTTTATATTTGAATAAATGAAAACAAATTCTGGCACGCTTCATTCAGCGCACACACAATTAAAAATTGTTTTATTATGGCCGGATATCCGACGCAATATGGCGGCGGCACGCCAGTACAATATAGTGTCAATTGATGACGTCATTTGTATTCGGCAGTATACTGAAAACGTTTCGGAACATACCCATTATAAGGGATCCTTTATTTTCCACCAGGTGGTTTCACTGATCTGTTAATAGTCTCTCGTATCTGCTTCTGCTTTTTCTGCTCTGCTACGTCGTCCTTACTGATGCGATCTTGCGCGGGTTTCGGTAAGCGGTTAGATCGCGTAGCTTCTGTTTGAGAGTTCAAATTGACTTTAGTTTTATACGTGGTACATTTTTTTACGTGGTAGAGCCATGCTGCAGTTATATTAGTAGTATAGTTGTAGTACGAATGGGTCGGCTCGACCGGGGAAGGACCACGCTCTCACAGTATTTATACTACCGTTTAGTATGGTGTATATATATACTGTTTGGTATGGTGAGTGTAGACCACCGGAGACCCTTTTTACTGGAAAAGAGGCATTCCATCTTAGTCCTCAGGGGTGTCAACGCATCTGCATTTTGATTCGTAATTGAAGATAGATGTAGATGTCTATGGGCCACAGCAACCACTTACCAACACATGGACTGTGTGCTCGAACGTCACCCATATTCTATATAAAAAATCACGTATGCAAGAGGAGCAACGCAACCAACTAAGCACATCCAGCGTTACATATACAGCAACTGTGGTGATGAAGTAAAGCTTCGTTGTGTTGCATCTCCGCACAAGCCACAGACACCAAAGAGTATAGAATATAGTTCCCATACTTTTTTGGTTGTTTTTCTATGAAAAAACCACTATTGCTTCAATTGAAATCAGTAGGCACCTCCTTTGAAGATATTTTACACATAAGTTATAAAAAAATTGTATCTTTAAATGAGTATAAAATTTTTAATGTTTTAATAGTACATAGAAATCCTAATTGTTTTTTTTTTGCCTAGGTCTGGGTGTCATAGACCAAAACCTAAGTTAAGTAGAATACTTCTTAACCGTGCTTGTCTCTGCACGCACGTACGTATACGTTCTGCAGTGATTAAATGTGTACGTATACAAGCTGCCAGCAATGATATTTTTATATAAAAAAGATAGATACGTTAATAGCACGCCAACACTGAAGCGTCGGAAAGTAGTCAATTTACTCAAGGCCTTGGAATAAATATGACACCACGATTACGTAAGCTTAAAGAAAAGAACAACAATAGACATTCCAGATCTGGTGCGATAAGAAAACGAAGAGCGAGAGGAAATGAGGTGAAATGTAAGTAAAATATTAAAACGTGTGTGTGTACTGCCGCTGGAACATGTTTTTGGGTGGTTTTGTGGGCATATAACGTATCTCTAAAAAATACCATTGGCTGCCACGAGGAATTATACCTGTTGTTATCTCGTCCTCGATGATGAAAGAATTACAAGGTAACAATGAATTTGTGGCGGCGCTGTCGTCGCGTAAAAGCGAAACACCGAAGCCTAAATCGCGTTATTAAAGTTCCAAAGTACATATACATAAACATATACGCTGTCACCCAGAGGGGTAGGCAGAGACTACGGACTTCCCTTGGCACAATGCTGACACAACTCTCTCGCCTCCTTCTTCCTTTACATCCATATATCTACGCATACAGGCTTGTCGGTTAAGGGTAGTCTTAATTTCGTACATTTTCAATACATCGCCAATTTGCTTTGTCAATCTTTCCTCGCTCATTCTTTCTAAATAACCAAACCACCGAAGCATTCCTTTTTTAATCCAGGTCACACAATCATGTTGATGATGTTGTGACTAGTTCCGAAGCCACGGCGCTATACTGGATGACCTTTTTACCGTCTGGAAAAAAAAGGGTGTAACATGTGAACGGAATCTATGGAAATCATATCCACTCTACTTTACGAACGGCAATAAAACAATAAATTTTGTAGGCATCTTTGACCTTGTCACTTCGCAGGGTCACAGGCTAGGGTGGATATGATTTGAATTTCGATAGATTTTAATTGATTAATTTAATTAATTCAAAATTTTTGTTTTTATTTTTTGTATAATATCAGTGCCAAAGGCTTCTTCTACTCCGTTCACATGTTACATAGTATTTTACCAGACGGTAAAAAAGTTCATCCAGTATATAGAACTCCAGTATAGTCTCGGCGGGAGATATCCCCTCTTCCTTCCAAGGTCAAAAATTCTTTCATCATTTTCGAGCGGGACAACCACAGAAATAATTTCAATCGATCGGCGCGGCGCTTACTTGTTTGTTTGATTGTTCAAGTTCTCGCTACAAGTGTGGCCACTGACCATTGCCGGCATCAAGAGCGGCCGCACGACGTGTAGAACAAGATGTATGCGGCGCTCGATTTAACTTCCGTCGCCGGGATCTCGGTAACTACGTGGTCGTCGTATTTGTACCACCTGTTAAATTAAAATATTATATTTTTTAAGTAAAAACTCCTTTACAATCGCTGTCATTTGAAAATCTTTCAAACAAAAAAGCGACACTAAAAGAGGCAAACATATATATCTATAAGATTTGGCTTGCGAGAAAATGGATAGAATACAGTATAGTATACAGGGACGAAATTTGTTGATTAGAAATTATTCAAGTACTTACGATGATGAAATTGAAAACTTGGAGTCTGTATAATGTGTAATGCAGAATTTAAATGTAAAATAATTTTAAACTTGGCAACAATATTTATAATAAATAGCTACTTCTACTCCTGATACTCCGCATTCGTACCACTCTCTCGAAGTTTAGTTTTCTAATTTCACTTCTAACGCGCTTTAACTGCACAGGTTTTTTAAAATTATTTCTGTACTTTCATACGTGGTAGCGCCACGCTGCAGCTATAATATGGCTGTAGCACGAATGAGTCGGCTCTCTCGGCACCCACGGGATAATATAGGGTTGTGGATATTTTTATATCGCCAATACACAGCTACAATGTACGTTCCTTTATGTGTCTACCTGGAAGATATTTCAGTAAATTATGGAATAAGTAGAACCTTTGTACGAACTCACCCTATGAGTTTCTGGGCCCTGTTGTGTGGACATTTTTTTTAATAGAACAAGGGTGACAAACGCGCACACATTCCACCTGATGATAAGTGGTTGCTGTGGCCCATAGACATCTACATTTATCCTCAATTAAGAATCAAAACGCAGATGGGTTGTCACCCTTGAGGACTGAGATGAAATGCCTCGTTTCCAGCATTGAGCTGCTAATTTACGCTGATATTCTGTGTGTACAACATAAATTGTAAAAAGCATGCGTTTACTGCTTTCCCAGAAGTTATTTTCAGTCACTTTGATTGCGTTAGTTGTGTGGTCGTAAGCGCAATAACTGCGGATCATGTGGCCCCCGGCTCGAATCCCGGGTCGGGACTAAAAAAAAAGTTATTGGGTTTTTCTGTCAAGAAATTTTCAGTAGCAGCTTGGAGTCAAAAGTTTCACCCTTGGGCTTTGAAAAACACGTAAAGCCATTTCCGTTGGTCTTGGATCTGATCTCTTTCCGGTCCTGTTGGGTTACCGTCCCATTGGCCTATGAGAGTGAGGGAATAGACGGACACTATAATCTTGTCCTGCTAAGATGGCTAGTCTACTAATCTGTGCTAATGTGTGCATGCTGTAAAAGTAAAGTAAAGTTACAGCCTATATACGTCCCACCGCTGGACACAGGCCTCCCCTCAGTTCTGAGAGGGTCTTAGGGCAAGAAAGTGTCCGCCGCACTGCCCCAATGCGTGTTAGCGAACTTCACATGTCTTCGTAATATTTTTTTTCTTATTTCTCAGACATGCAGGTTTCCTCACGATGTTTTCCTTCACCGCCGAGCACGTGGTAAATCGCCACTTAAAATTGCAATGAACAATTTCATTGGTGCCGGCGGGGATCGAACCCGGGTTACTCGCGTTCTGTTATATTTACAGCGAGCGTTAGCCATCTGAGCTACCACGGCTCATGCATGCTGTGGTTACCTATAATCGTGACAAAAGTTAGATTTAGAGAGTGCGATTCGTCCTGCAACCGTAATAGCTGCAGCATGGCTCTACCACGTATATGGTTCAAACGAAAACAGCTCATACTCACTTGCCATAAACACTACTTTTGCAGTACGCGGTGTAATGTCCGCCCTCCATTGATCCGTAGTGGTTGGACACGGCGTACAGGTTGTACATGGGGTTCCCGGGGCAGTGTAGTGAGAACTGGCTCATGTCCAAGTTCTCCAGAGGGAAGTCGATGTACGTCTGCTTTTTCCTGTACGTATTGCTCATGTACTCTTTGGGGTCGACGTAGAATCGCTTGAAGTGGATCACGAGGACCGGCGGGAGACGGGAAATGTCGAGCTTCTTGACAGCGTCTCTCTTCTCCTTGCATTTTGGACAGTTCCAGCCTGGTATCGTTTCGCCGTTGAGGTAAAGGTTTAGGCAGTCCTGGTAAAAAGTTTCATTGATAAATGGTAATATTTCATTTATTTATTAGAATACTAAGGCTTGATTACAATAATATTATACATATATTTACATAAATACATAATAAGTAGAAATTACACAGTAGACGTAATATGACATCCTGGACGAATTCGCCAATTTTAATGTGCTAGTCAAGAATTGGGCACTTTTTGCAAGCATTTCAAAAACGTTACGATTGCAAGTTTGTCTTTAACTTTATTTTAAATTATTTTTTCCAAGTATTGCAATGAATCTGTAATCCAGTGAGTTATACCTTTTATTAGAACTTTGATCTTTCAAACAAGAAGTATGAAAGGTCAACGTTCAAATAAAATATTATATTTATAGGTAATGTCTACTAAGTATCTTGAGGCAGTTATCATGTTTCTATAGATTACTGTATACAGCCGAGGGGGAAAGTCGAAACAAAATGATATATACGAATTCCGATTATCCACCCCGTCTGGGGTGAAGACAGACACGCGTTTTCGCGTTCAAGATGGTGGATTCTTTAGGGTCATCATCATCATTACAGCCCTTCACAAGTCCACTGCCGAACATAGGCCTCCCCCAAGTAATGCCACAAAGCAATGTCCTGAGCCACCTGCATCCATCGACTTCCTGCATGTCTTACCAGGTAATCACTCCATCTAGTAGGGGGGTCACCCTACACTACGCCTACCGGTACGAGGCTGCCACTCGAGAACCTTTCTTCCCCATCGGTTATCGGTTATTCGAGCTATATAGCCGGCCCATTGCCACTTCAGCTTACTGGTCTGTTGGGCTATGTCGGTCACTCTGGTTCTACTGCGGATATCCTCATTTCTGAGTCTATCACGCAGAGAAACACCGAGCATAGCCCTCTCCATAGCTCGCTGAGTGACCTTGAGCGTCCTCATACGGCAAGCAGGACCACGTCTCAGATCTGTAAGTCATCACTGGCAACACGCACTGGTTGTATAATCTAGTTTTCAGAGTTTGAGGTATACCTGACGAGTAGATGTGTCGTAATTTCCCGAACGCTGCCCAGCCGAGTTGAATCCGTCGATTGGCCTCTCGGTCGAAGTTGGACTTACCTAGTCGGACTATTTGTCCCAGGTAAACGTACTCGTCAACAACTTCGAGCATAGTGCTCCCAACAACTACCGGCATAGGTGTGACATGGACATTAAACATGATCTTTGTTTTGTCCATGTTCATCTTAAGACCTATCCGTTGGGAGACACCATTGAGGTCATTGAGCATAGTGCTTAAGTCCTCCAGCGATTCTGCCATAAGGACTATATCGTCGGAAAATTGAAGGTGAGTGATGTACTCGCCATTGTTAATACCGTATCATTTCCAGTCGAGTAGCTTGTAAACGCGTTCCAATGCAGAGGTGAAGAGTTTCGGGGATATAACGTCACCCTGTCTTACACCCCTCTGCAGTTGGATAGGTTTCGTACTCTGGTTCTGTACTCGGATAGCCATCGTAGGCTTACTCTACAAACACTTCAGCACTTCGATATATCGACAGTCAACTTGGCACCGCTGAAGGCACTGTAGCACCGCCCAAATTTCGACGGAATCAAAGGCTTTCTCAAAGTCCACATACGCCAGGCAAAGTGGCAGATTGTACTCTTCAGTCTTCTGTACAATCTGCCGCAGGGTATGTATGTGGTCTATGGTACTGAAGCCTTTTCGGAAACCGGCTTGTTCGGGAGGCTGGAAGTCGTCGAGTCTGCGTGCGAGACGATTCGTAATGACTCTCGAAAACAGCACGTAGACGCGGCTCAGAAGGGAAATCGGTCTGTAATTCTTCAAGAGAGCGTTGTCGCCTTTCTTAAAGAACAAGACCACGGCACTTCTGCTCCACGCCTCCGGAGTAGTGTCACCATGAAGGACGGAATTGAAGAGCTTCTGAAGGACTTTGTGGCCGTGGAACGTAAAGGGGAGATTTCCCGCCGGGCAAGGTGTTCTGCCCGGGGAGCGGCCAACACTCCGTGTGATAGTTCGGAGATGTTCTATATATACTGTGTATCATTCGGAATTTTGACAGCGTGTTTTACGCTTCGGTGTGTTTTCGCTTGCGGCGCGACGTCAGCGCCGCCACAACTTCAAGTACCGGTGTTCCACCCGCTTTCAGAAGCTCCGCTGTAATTCCATCCTCGTCTAATCTCGCTCAGACTGACGTCAACAAAGTTATATGTAGATGTATGTACATGTGCGTGTGTACCTGCAGCGTGCAGCGCGGGCAGCTCGAGCGACAGGTTGGAGAACGAGTCGTAGGTGGCGTGCGTGTTTGTAGATGTATGTACGTCTGCGTGTGTGTACCTGCAGCGTGCAGCGCGGGCAGCTCGAGCGACAGGTTGGAGAACGAGTCGTAGGTGGCGTGCGTGTTTGTAGATGTATGTACGTGTGCGTGTGTGTACCTGACAGCGTGCAGCGCGGGCAGCTCGAGCGACGGGTTGGAGAACGAGTCGTAGGTGGCGTGCGTGTTTGTAGATGTATGTACGTGTGCGTGTGTGTACCTGCAGCGTGCAGCGCGGGCAGCTCGAGCGACAGGTTGGAGAACGAGTCGTAGGTGGCGTGCGTGTTTGTAGATGTATGTACGTGTGCGTGTGTGTACCTGCAGAATACAGCGCGCGGCGGCGGCGGGCAGCTCGAGCGACAGGTTGGAGAACGAATCGTAGGTGGCGTGCGTGTTTGTAGATGTATGTACGTGTGCGTGTGTGTACCTGCAGCGTGCAGCGCGCGGCGGCGGCGGGCAGCTCGAGCGACAGGTTGGAGAACGAGTCGTAGGTGGCGCTGCGCTCGCCGCAGCGCACGCAGCGCACGGTGGAGCGCATCTGCCCGTAGAACAGCCGCAGCACCAGGCTCTCCTTGCAGCGCGTGTACTCGTGCCACGCTCGCTCGGCTGCGCCCAGGCTCTCCTGCATCAACCCGCCCCAACTTTACCACATGATGAACCTTAACATCTAAATGACATCTTAAAATCTACGTTGTGACGCCGGGACACTAACACAGAATAAAGAGAACAACCTGTTAGTAGCCGAAAGGAAGATTCTAAGAAGATTATTTGAACCAGTTCGAAGGGAGGATGGCGGCTGGGGTGCGAAGTCAGAAGTCCTCCACGTGTGCCTGGTAGTTGCGGGTCCCTCTCGATACGTCTGGAGGGAAGAGCAGCAACTGGGCCGGTGCACCCTGGGCGCGGCGGTAATCTTGCTCGAGAAATGAGAAGAAATTCTTATTCCTTGGGGGAATGTTGCTGCCGCGGCTAATTATTCTGACATGGGGGGGGTCCATCCCGGACCAACAGTGCGTTCCTCTGCGTGCCCTCTGATCAGCAGCAGGGCATAGCAGAGGTGCGAGGGCGGGCTCGGTGTGCACTTACCCTGCCTCCGGGCAGACAGTGAAGGATTCATCCTTTGCTGTCACCGCCGGTCTCGTAATCCCAGTCGAAGTGTCGTGGATCATGTCTCGCGGCTTTGATAAGGACCGAGGGTCTTGGCTTAATCGCCCGGACCGCGAGGGAGAAAACCTCTATAAAAAGTTACCCCGAATCCCAAGCGGCGACGCACCGCGAGGGGATGGATGGCTGACGGGGGTTCTATGAACAAATCAGCCGCAAGTGCGGTCCTCGCCAGGGTACCTGCAGACCCCCTGGCGAGTAATAAATCCTCTAAATCTGCTTACCTTGGTACAGGGGTCTCTGCCAAGGTGGACCTGTAATTCCCCCATAATCGTGGGTACAGAAATGGAAACACTAAAAACAAAAACAACAACAACAAAAAACAAAACCAAAACCGCCGGCAACGGCAACGTAGAGGAGAGGAGAAACGATGCGGGGAATGAGTCCGACGCCGCGTCGAGCAGCGTGGGAGGCTCAGAAAGCTCCCGACGCGTGGGGCCTGGGACCGCGGAGACCAGTAAGTTCTTCCGCAAGCGGTCCAGGCTGGATGGCGACCAGGGGCCGTCATCCGGTGAAGAGGAGGTTTCGGCCCGGAAAATCCCCACCAACAGGCGGGGCGGGCTGAGAGGCAAGGGGAGGGGGGCTCTCTGATAATCAGATGGCCGAACGAGCGGCAAAGCTTGCCGAGGAGGGGCGCCACCCGGGCGATACGGCTCGGGTATCAGGCGAAGAGACGAGTGCGACTGGCGGCTCCGAGGTGGAGCGTAAGGCCAGATTCGTAAAGGAGGTGGAGGCCGCGATCAAGGTCGTGGCCCACAAGCAGAAGTCCTCCTCAAAGTTCAAGGCCATTCCCGGGGCCTCCGCCTCCATCATGGCGGCTGCGGAGGCCAACTTTGTTGGGGCCGGGCCTAATGCGGACGAGGTGGCGAAGCTGCGGGCGGACGTGGCCCGCCTTACGTCTGCCATGGAGACTCTCCAGAAGGAGAACGAGCAGCTCCGCGCAGACCTGGCCAGTCTACGGGAGCCTGCCTCACACGCGGTGCCCCAGACGCAGCGCCCAAGCCAGCCCGTGCCGGTGGAGAACCAGGTTCTGAACCTGGTCCGGCAGGAGCTGGCTGCCTTCCAGCACCGGTTTTCCGTGCTGGAGGGCATCGTCCTGCGCCCCCCCCCCGAGGGGCACCCACGACGGCGGCGCGGCCGGAAACGTACGCGGCGGTCACGGCTACCGCATCCAGGCCGGGGCCGTCCAGCCAGCCCTCGGGCGGGGCTGCAGTTGCCCCTCCCCCCTGAAAAGCCGGCTCTGGCAAATCCGATACCGGCTGAACTGGCTCCGGCTAAGCCGGCGACGGGAAAGGGAGGCAAGACGAAGGCGAGAAAGGGCAAGGCGGCAGCACAGGTAGTGGCTACACCAGCCCCAGTGCCTGCGGCGAATGTGCCAGCGCCAGCGGCAAGCCAGCTGCCGCCGCCGTCACTGGCCCCCCAGCTACCTACACCTCCCGCGGCTGAAGCCGGTTGGCAGGTGGTCGGGAACAAGAAGAAGGGTAAGAAGTCAGCCAAAAAGGCCAAAGAGCAGGAGCGGCAGCGCCAGTTCAGGGCGCGCAAGATCGCGGCTAGGCTCCGCGCCCCGAAGACCGCAGCTGTAGTGATTACACTACAGCCGGACGCGGAAAAGAAGGGCGTTACCTACCGCGATCTGCTCGCGAAGGCGAAGGAGGCGGTGGATCTCGGGGAGCTCGGGATCACCGGGGGCCTCCGGCTCAAAGTCACCCAGACGGGGGCCCGTATGCTAGAGGTCCCCGGGGGAATCCAGTGGCGCGACCGCGGACGCTCTGGCTGCGAAGCTCAGAGCGTCTCTGGACGCGGAAGAGGCCCGGGTGTCCAGGCCCGTCAGATGCGCAGACCTGCGCATCATGGGTCTGGACGACTCGGTATCGGAGGAGGAGTTGGTGGCCGCCGTCGCCAGGTCCGGGGGTGCACTACTGACCAGGTCAGGTCAGGCGCCATACGCCCGGACCAACAGGGCATGCATGCCGCCACGGTGCGCTGCCCTGTTACGGCGGCCAAAACCATAGTGGAGGGCCGAAGGCTTCTGGTGGGCTGGGTCTCAGCGCAGGTTAAGCTGCTGGAGCCCAGACCTCTGAGGTGCTATCGCTGTCTCGTGGGGCACCACGTATCAGTGAGATGCGCCTCGGAGGTTGACCGCAGTGGCCTTTGCTTCCGCTGCTGTCAGCCCGGACACATATCGGCGACCTGCTGCGCCACGCCGCACTGTGATGCATGTGCAGCGACCGGCAAGCCAGCCGATCACCGGGCCGGAAGCAAGGCCTGCGTGCCACCCGCCAAGGCCAAGGCCGCGGGTAGGGTAGGGGCCAAAGCCGCCACCGTCTCTGTGGCCTCCGCCGCAGCCGCAACTGCCACCGCCACCGCTGTCACTGTCGCCGCCGCCGCCGCCGCCGCCGCGACACCGACGCCCGCAGAGGGGCCCCCCCCCGTGGAGGAAGCTGAAATGGAATGCCTATAACGGCCCCATTAAGCTTCCTCCAGGCGAATATCAACCACTGCGCCTGCGCTCAGGATCTGTTGCTCCAGAGCATGGCGCAGTGGTCGATTAACATCGCTGTGGTCGCTGAGCCGTATTTTGTCTGGCCTAGGGAGGACTGGGTGGCGGACCTTAACGGCTCAGTGGCCATCATCTCTTCGGCCGCCGCCGGTACCCCGACCCTTGAAGGTGTCAGGAGGGGTCAGGGGTGCGTAGCAGCACGGTTCGGGGAGTTCGTCGTTGTGGGGGTGTACTTCTCCCCGAACCGATCTCTCGCCGAGCTCCACAACTCTCTTGCAGAGCTGAGAGCAGTCGTCGTCGGAAGTTATCCCCTCCCCCGTACTTGTCCTCGGGGACTTCAATGCCAAGAACTTGGCTTGGGGTTCTCGTCGTACAGATGTGCGGGGTAGGATGGTGGAAGACTGGGCTCTGGAGACAGGCCTGGTCGTCCTAAATCGGGGTTCTGTCCCCACGTGTGTGCGGATGCGGGGCGAGTCGGTGGTGGACATCTCGTTCGCTAGCCCCGCTCTGTCGCCGCGTGCCATTGACTGGCGTGTCATGGAGGGGGTGGAGACCTACTCCGACCACCGGTACATCCGGTTTGATGTCTCCACCCAGCCCTCGAGCGCGCCAGTCCAACAGGCCCCGAGTGGTCCGCGTTGGGCGCTGAAGCAGCTGGACCGGGAGCTCCTCCTGGAAGCCTCGATCGTGCAGGCCTGGGTGTCATCACCGGACAGGCCTGCCGACGTCAATGATGAGGCAGGGTGGTTCCAGGAGGCCATGTCCGAGATATGTGATGTGGCAATGCCCCGCGTCCGGCCAGGAAGCGCCCGGCGTCAGGTGTATTGGTGGTCGCGTGAGCTGACGTCTCTGCGCGAGGCGTGTGTCGCCGCGCGGCACCTGTACACCAGGCATCGCAGGCTCCGCATTCGTCCACCGAATGCGGCAGCCATTGAGGCGGAGCTGTACGAGGGATACAGAGCGGCGAAGAACGCCCTCCGGGAGGCTGTCCTGCGGGCCCGGGATCGGGCCCGTAAGGAGATGCTGGAGACTCTCAACAGAGATCCGTGGGGGCGCCCTTACAAGATGGTGCGGGATAAACTCCGCACCTGGGCCCCCCCCGCTGACGCAAAGTCTCCGGCCCCAGCTCGTGGAGGACGTGGTGAGCGCTCTGTTCCCTGCGCGACGGGAAAATCCGCCCCCGCCTATAGCTCCGCCACCTGCGGTGCCGGAAGCGGACCACCAGGACGACGACGACGACATCCCGGAAGGGACCGGGGTAGACCTGAGAGTGGCGGTACGTAGGCTCAAGGCCAGGAATACCGCCCCAGGACCCGATGGCTTGCCTGGCAAAGCCTGGGTCCTGGCCTCGAAGGCTCTCGGGCCCCGACTGGAGGGGCTCCTAAGCGCATGCTTTTGCAGAAGCTGGTCCTCATTCGGAAGCCGGGGCGCCCTGCGGACTCTCCGTCCGCATACCGGCCCGTGGTGCTGCTCGACGAGGTGGGCAAGCTCTTTGAAAGAGTCATTGCAAACCGCCTCGCCGAGCACCTTGCGGAGACGGGGCCGGATCTTGCGGAACACCAGTTTGGTTTCCGCAAGAGGCGCTCTACGGTGGACGCCATCATGCGCGTGAGAGCCCTCACGACGGGGGATGCAGTGGCCAGAGGGGGGGTTGTCTTGGCGGTGTCTCTCGACATCGCCAACGCCTTCAACTCCATGCCCTGGAGCTGCATTAGGGAGGCACTCCGGTATCACCGGGTGCCGACCTATCTCCGTCGTATAGTCGGGGACTACCTGACGGACAGGGCCGTCATCTACCCCGGTCGCAACGGTGAGTGGAACCGGCGAGAGATGTCGTGCGGTGTCCCACAGGGTTCGGTTCTGGGGCCACCTCTGTGGAACATCGGTTACGACTGGGTGCTGCGCGCCGACCTCCCTACCGGCGTCAGCGTAGTTTGCTACGCTGACGACACGCTGGTACTGGCACAAGGGGGGTCGTACGAGGCGGCGGCGGAAAATATGACACGCGGGGTTGCGATAGTCGTTGAGAGGATTCGGCAACTGGGTCTCGAGGTGGCTCTGCACAAGTCCGAGGCCATGCACTTCCATGGTCCTCGGAACAGGCCACCACCGGGATCCTCAGTGATGGTAGGAGGGGTATCCATCGACGTCGAGTCGACGCTGAAGTACCTAGGACTCGTCCTCGACGGCCGATGGAACTTCGTTGAGCATTTCCGACGTTTGGCTCCCAAACTGGAACGGACCGCGGCTGCCTTCAGGCGGCTCCTGCCGAACCTGGGAGGGCCAAACGCCTCCTGCCGGAGGCTCTACGCGGGGATCGTGCGGTCCATGGCCCTTTACGGGGCCCCGGTGTGGGCGCGTGGTTTGGCGCGGCTTGCCGTCCACCACCTGAACGCGCCCCAAAGGGTGATAGCCGTGAACATGGTTCGCGGCTACCGCACGATCTCCCGCGAGGCGGCGAGCCTCCTTGCCGGATTGCCGCCATGGGATCTGGAGGCGATAGTCCTCGCGCGCCTGCACGAATGGCGTGCGGAGGCACTATGCCGTGGGGAAACCCCGCTGCCGCGGCAAGTTGTCGCGCAGCGGACAGACTTCCGGCACGATCTCATGGCGACATGGAGACAGCGACTGTCGCAACCCCGTGCTGGGCACGCCACTATAGCGGCGATAAGACCCCTCTTTGAGGAGTGGCTTGAGAGACGCCACGGCATCCTCACCTTCCGCCTGACGCAGGTCCTCACCGGACACGGTGTGTTTGGGAGGTTCCTGCACCGAATCGGGCGGGAGGAAAACGCCCGGGTGCTCCCACTGCGAGGATGGACCGGAGGACACGGTGGAACACACCGTGGAGGTGTGCCCTGCTTGGGCGGAGCACCGCCGTGTCCTCGTAGCGGCGATAGGCGGCGGCGACCTCTCGCGTCCGGCCCTGGTCGAAGCCATGGTCCGGAGCGAGACGGAATGGGATGCCGTCACCACTTTCTGCGAAGCAGTGATGCTAGCGAAGGAGGTGGCGGAGCGGGAGAAGGAGAGAGCAGCAGCTTTCCTCCCCGGCCGCCGCGGGAGACGCCCCGGGCGTCGGGGGCTACGTCGTGGCCCCCGGCCACCGTAGGCGCGGGCCTGTGGACGGCGAGCAATGGGTAGCTCGTCGTCCGTCCGTCTAATGACGACAGGCCGTGTCGACGGCGCGTTTTGTTCCACGCGCGCCTCAAAGAGCTGTCAGCAGCGTGAAGGGGCCCGCAAGGGCCGACGCCTGCCGGGGCTGCGGGCTGTTCGAAAGAGATACGTGGTATACGTGGTAGAGCCATGCTGCAGTTATATTAGATGTATAGTTGTAGCACGAATGGGTCGGCTCGACCGGGGAAGGACCACGCTCTCACAGAATACCAGCGTGAAATAGTAGCTTAATGCTGCTGTGTTTCGTATGGTGAGTGTAGAGAACCGGAGACCCTTTTTTACTGGAAACGAGGCATTCCATCTTAGTCCTCACGGGTGACAACGCATCTGCATTTTAATTCGTAATTGAGGATAGATGTAGATGTCTATGGGCCACAGCAACCACTTACCATCAGGTGGACTGTGTGCTCGTTGGTCACCCTATCCTATAAAAAAAAAAAAAAAAAAAAAAAAGATACCGCGGCTCCGGAACGTAAGGGCACTGAAGGAACACGGATGGTTTTTAGTCAGTAAAAGTTCTGACACTCCCTTACGCTCCACCCAGAGCGAAAGGGGTCATTAGATGATTTTCCATCCGCAAAAAAAAAAAAAAAAAAAAAAAAAAAAAAAAAAGGGAGGATGGCGGCTGGATAGTACCGGAAAAACTCCGAAATAAAAATCTCATGGCCGAGCCAAACATCATTGCGGGAATAAAAGCTCATCGTCTTCGGTGACTCGATCATGTAGAACGAATGAGAAGAGATCGAAGTGCAAGGAGATCATATTTGGGTCGACCGACTAGCCGACGTCCTGTTATCGTCCCAAATATCACTGGAGCAACTTGATTTAACTGACCTACTCACGATTCAGGCAGAAGACAACTAGCGAGAGCTTGTGCAGGACAGGGAGAAGTGGCCTGTTCTACTCGCACCAAAGCCCCCACTTAGGTATCACTGCGCCATAGAGGTGAGTAAGTAAATCTAACAAACACTTCTATATATACTACCAGACGAGTCGTTATTCCTTTTGTCCACTTCAAGCGGACGAAAAGACTACTTCTTTGTTTTGTAAACAGCAAACATTGTTTTCAACAATCTAAACACTAATTTGTAAGAAAACGCGGTCACCATCACGGTGATAAATGTGTTTATTAACGGTGATCGGCAGTAAAATAACTGCTAAAAACGGGCACTACGGTATTAATACATTGAGTAATAAGTTGAGATTAATTCACCGTAACCTCTTTCGTCGACTGCGACCGGGCGAAAAGACTAGTTCCATGTTTAGTAAAACGCCAAACGTTGATTTCCCCAATCTCACAGAAAACGCTGAATATATAGTTGTGCACCTTATCAACGTAATTTGAAGTTCATTTCAAATAAGTATGAAACTTTATTTCGTATTTGTCTAAAAACAATAACTGTCGCAAATGAAAATAAAACTGCGTGGCATATTTACCACACCACACTTTGCATAAACCCTCAAGTGGATTGCGTACTCGTTATTAAATATTACTTCCATAAAAATCTATTCATTTTGAATATCATTCACAAAAGGCTTATATAAGGAATTAAATTCTTTAATTTCTACTTCCCCTTTGGTGGATATCGCATGCATTCGAATCAGTTTGCTTTTTCCTTCGTAATAAGTACGACAAAGGAGTGAAATAATGCGCCTTTTCTGAAATTGTTTCCCGTGGTATAATGGGTGATGGATATAACCCGTAGTTAACCGTTGCCCTCTGACTCGGAACGAAAGTACATTTTTACTTATATACGATCTATTTAAGCCGCGGGCATTGAACTCACTATTAATTAATCTTCTGGACAATTTTTATCCTTAATATATTACATTTTTTACTACTAGTGCTTTTCTCCAAGCACTCAATAACTTCAGTAAAGATACAGATATAACTGCACCTATATACTACTTCAGTGTATGTATTATAATTATTGGTCCTTCGTGCCGGATTTGAACCAACTATTTATATATGAAACACCAGTTGCGTGATTTAATAAGATTTTAACGATATTTCCACAGGAGATGAAATGTGCAAAATATAAATAACCATTTCATTGCAATGCAAGATTTTCTTGTTTTTAGTCCTTTAGTTTTCAAATCGCCGATATCGTTTAGACTTTAAACAAACAAGTAATCGTATAAAATATTTTACAGATTATAGTCTGGCAAACTGTTAAACATTTTGTCAGAAGAAATTGCTCTCGGTAACAATTCATATTACCACCTATAATTATTGTAAATACTTATATGTAACTAGCGTTCCAGCCCAGCTTCGTGCGCGTGATTTCTGGTTCTCGACAACTATGTCACCTACCGGGAACAATCTACATCGGGTCCAACTGTAGCTAAGAACCATCCAAGTGACCTTGCAAGTACCTTATAAAACCGTCCCGTTTTGGAGGAGAAGAATTGCCGAAGACGGAGACCGGAATTTTTATATACAAAAATATTGCACTCGTAATAAAGCTTTACTCTTAATAATTAATAGAATCAGGCGTTACTTTTCGGAAATCTATTACATTGTAGATGTTAAAAATTAAATAGTTTAAATCCGCGTAAGAAATAAAATCATGTGTCTTACCTATAGTTTGAAGAGCACCTCCCACCCTCCTTCAATAGCGTGCACTATCCCTGTCAAAAGTCTCGTCTTAATGAATGGGGAAAAGCACCACTACTCCCAACACCACTACTCTAGGAAAGACACACCACCGTTGATAATACGACACGTGTTTCGCCTCTACACGAGGCATCCTCAGGTGAAGTAAACTCTTAGGTGATTCTAAGGTTGCTGGACCGCTGAGTCAGGTGGTCAGTCAAAGAGGGCAAATCTGTAATTTACTCTTAATTGCTGGTACACACCTTTTGGGGCGGCTTGATGGAGAACTGCAGGTCGAGATGCAGCCAGTCCATGAGGATAGTGAGGAACTCGTGCGAGTCCTGCTGTTCGTTGCCGCGGAACGCACGCTGATGTTTGCCCACCTCGTTCTGCATACAGTTCAAATTACAACTGACCTACATCCAATTTCTAGCACAGACCTCTAAATTTTTAAAAGAATAAGGATGACAAACGAGCACATACAGTCAACTTGATGGTAAGTGGATGCCATGGCCCATAGACAACTACCTATATCCTCAATTTAGAATCAAAATGCAGGCAGATGCGGTAGCACTCCTAGGGCTTCATATGGTATGCCTCGTTTGCAGTAAAAAGGGTCTGCAGTTCTCTACACTCGCAATACGAAACACAGGACAATTAAGCTGCTATATTAGGCTGGTGTTCTGCGAGAGCAGGGTTCTTCCCCGGTCGAGCTGACCCATTGAGGCTACAATTATAATATAGCTGCATCTACAACAAAATCATTTAGAGAGTTGGGCAAAGGTATTAATAATTAGAGCCGATCGTCGTAGAGACTTGACCCCTTAATCTAATTTATTCATAATGTGCTTGTGACTTCATGGGCGAGACATCAATCACCTCAGTTCCCCCGTGACCATGAGTGCTGAAAAGCACTCGAAATGTCAGGTATTGAAAATAAAATTAAACCGCGATAAATCCGTAAAAAATAAAACAGCTTCTTCATAATATCTGGCATCTTCTTAATATCTGGCACGTCAATTACTGTAAATGGGTTCCGTCTAGAATTTCAAGCGATGATGGAAAAGCAAACTATCAAACAACTGGGATGTGTCAATTGCTCCAGTCAGCAGCTTTTCCACGACAACGTTCGTCGACAAACTGTACATTGATTAATGAATGATCTCACTAAAAATTTACAGGAGCTGCAACTCTCCGTTATCTCGCTTTCCCGTCCAGACCATGACTGCCAGGCGATAATGAGGACATCCGCAATATTGCGTGCCATCAGGGCGGCGCAACTTTCAAGTGAAGTGAAATATTTAACAAATTTTATAGCGGGGAAGTTAATTTGTTAGGAAAATGTAAAGGTTAATGTTTCTTTCTGTAATATTTGTTACATTATATAGTAATAAGAGTAGAAACAACTAAAACAAACTACAGATATTCGAAAATAGAAAAGTGCAAAAAAACTAAAGAACAAACCACGGAGCCATTGTTTTATGTAATAGTACACTACCCTACAAACAGATAAACATTCACTTATAACTAAGTTCTCAATTAAGTGACCATGTGTAGCAACAATTTCATATTATCAGTCCGAAATAGCGACATCTGGTGAGATGAAGATGTGACTTTTTATAGAATAAGGGGGCAAACGAGTACACAGTCCACCTGATGGTAAGTGGATGCTGTGGCCCATAGACATCTACATCTATTCTCGATTACGAATCAAAATGCAGATGCGTTGTCACCCGTGAGGACTAAGATGGAATGCCTCGTTTCCAGTAAAAAGGGTCTCCGGTGCTCTACGCTCACCATACGGAACACAGCAGCATTGAGCCAGTACTTTACGCTGGTATTCTGTGAGAGTCTGGTCCTTCCCCGGTCGAGCCGAACTATTTGTGCTACAACTTTACTACTAATATAACTGCAGCATGGCTCTACCGCGTATAAAATATTGATTTATATTAATGAGGGCTAATACGTAATAAGTTGAATAATTTTTGTTTCATGTTTTTCTTTTTCATAAAGTGTAGACTTTCTTATCACTACACCGGCGGTGAAACATTACAAGAAAACGTGATGATTTTTTAAAATAAAAACGATACATACTAGAATTTTCTCCTGTATCGTGGAGGCAGTTTACATACATAAATTGCACAAGGACAACATCCAGACCCGGAGCAATTACTTGTAGGCCATACAAACACTCGTTCCGTGCGGGATTCGAACCCGCGGTCCTCAGCGCTAAAACTCATAGCAACAAGTTATGTTTTTGTAGGCATTTAACTTTTCTTTATTATTATAATTTATTAATAAAAACAGGCTAGGTTATCAGTTATCACATAATTACACAAATTATGTTATATAATCCTTGATGGTCGAAATAAAGATATTATTATTATTATTATTAAAAATCAAAAGTTATTACTTATTACGTATCCCAAAGCATCAGCTAGTTTAGCTAATGACTAATTGTAAAATGACATGACAATTATTTTTAGCTTTGTACCCAAACAAATACTAACAAATTTTTCAAATAATGAAATATATAAATTTTACGTGATTCATGGATAACTTTACAAAGGAAAAACAACTCTGCACGGTAAATAGCGCCATTAAAATTCATCGATAAAAATAGCAAAAGGATATCAACAATAAAGGCGCATTTTTAATAAAATGAATATTTTATATAAAACGCCAATAATGATTTTAATGTCAACGCGAACACTACACATCTAAAAAAAGCTACTGCGTAGATCGGAACAAAAATTATAAATTTTAATCTGAAGGTAGCCGTGGTTAACTATGACTTTGGGACGCCGAACACATCAGTAGTCAGCACCCCCGTGACCATGGGTGCTGGAAAGTACTCGAAACGCCGGGAATATGAAATAAGTTAATATACGCGAGATAATCCGTAAGAACTTATATTATTTAAAATGCCATATTCATTGTTCCTAAGTTATTTTTTATACATCCATATATAACAATAGAAATGGAATAATAAATGTACTTTTCTTTCGTTGTATAAATATTAATCAAAAGGTGAACGGCCTACAAGCTTTGAAAATTAATATATGTCTTTGAGCGATGTCGTTGCCACACGTGACCACGATAGCTGGGTGCCGCCAATTACTCGTATACTGACGGTAAAATATCGATCCTTATCTGTGTATGTAAATTTATATTGGATAGGATAACAAGCTTAAAGGTTAAAAATGTAGTTAAAAAAGCCAACTGCGTAATAGTTTACTGAAAAGAGAAAACATTTATACCCTATACCAGGGATGGCGAACCGATTTCACTATGTTATATTACGAACAAACGCGAGTGATCCTAGTTACATCGTAGACTACTATTGCTAATGACGCATAGTTCGTTTCATCATCATCATCATTACAGCCCTTCACAAGTCCTCGCCTCCCCCACGGAATGCATTGTTCGTTTACGCGTAGCATAATAGTAAAATTCGTTGTAAAGTAAAAAAGTAAAGTTACAGCCTATATACGTCTCACTGCTGGGCACAGGCCTCCAGTCATTTTTGAGGGGGTTTTTTAGGGCAAGGAAGTATCCGCCGCGCTACTCCAATGCGGGTTGGAACTTCACATGTCTTCGAAATATTTTTTTCTTATTCTTCAGACATGCAGGTTTCCTCATGATATTTTCCTTCACCGCCGAGCGCGTGGTAAAACAGCACTTAAAATTGCAACTAACAATTTCATTGATGCAGGCGAGGATCGAACCCGGGTTACTTACGTTCTGTTATATTTACAGCGAGCATTAACCATCTGAGCTACCACGGTTGTATTTAAAAGTTCATTTGTGTTATATTTATGATTTTGCAACCCCGATATAAGTTATTTGTCATCTAATCTGCAACAACAGAAGTCACACTAATGTTACTTTAATTTGAATTACGCGTATAACTGAAACATTTAATCATTTTGCAGTGCATAATAATAAATGTCTCAATTCAAAATTCTTTATTTATTTTTTATAGTAAGTAAAGAGTTTTGAGTCGATAGTATTTAGTACTATTATTTTCCCAGTAATACCGAAGTCAACACTATTTTATGGTATATTGTACTAAATACTATCGACTCAAAACTCTTTATTTACTATAAAAAATAAATAACAAAATTTTGAATCGATAGTATTTAGTACTATTATTTTCCCAGTAATACCGAAGTCAACACTATTTTATGGCACGTCTATTAACTAATTAAACATTTCTTTAAAAAAATGGCACGTTGATATAAAGGTTCGCCACCCCTGCCCTATACCATTACTACAACTAAGGCGAATCTAAAGACAGCCTATATGTTAAAGTCCATCAAGCCTTTAAGGCTACAGGATCGTGCCAAATAAATAGACATAAATACATAAGAAATATACCTATATACATACACTCACTAAACGTGTTAAATTTATACGTGGTAGTATTTATACGTAGAGCCATGCTGCAGTTATATTAGTAGTATAGTTGTAGCACGATAGGGTCAGCTTAACCGGGAAAGGCCCACGCTCTCAAAGAATACCAGCGTAAAATAGTAGCTTAATATGCTGCTGTGTTTCGTATGGTGAGTGTAGAGAACCAAAGACCCTTTTTATTGGAAACGAGGTATTCCATCTTAATCCTCACGGGTGACAACGCATCTGCATTTTGATTCGTAATCGAGGATAGATGTACTCGTATATATCTATGGGCCACAGCAACCACTTACCATCAGGTGGACTGTGTGCTCGTTTGTCACCCTATCCTATATATAAAAAAAAAACATCACCCTCCTTCTGGATCAATGGAGTAACAATAAGGCCGGTTTAATTTTCGCATGGAACTCCGAAAATATGCATATAAAACTGCGGGCAACGGAAATTTGATAGATCGTGATATTTATTTTTCGGTAAAAAATTAATATTTTTTAAGTACAAGTTTGTTATGTGATAAATATCAATTAGTGATGGAGTGATAAATCGAAAACATCAATCTCACATAAATGAAGTTAAACTATGGATATTTAATCGATAGTTTAACAAATGCAAATAAAGTTTTTCCCTAATTCGACTAATATTTTTCTTAAGTTTAACAAATTAGGTTTGTGTGAAGTGTCATCTCACCCGTAGATCCTTGATGGCGATGAAGCGATACTGGCCGGACCACAGCGCGCGCACTACAGCAGCCAGTTCCTCGGCAATGGCGCCACGCGTACTGTGTGACCTGTCGTACACCGAATTGCACTTTTTATAGAATAAGGGTGGCAAACAAACGCACTGTCCACCTGACCGGTCGCATGGAAAAATCCGAAACAATTATTTGCCGACTAATTACAGACTTTTACGTGGTAGAGCCATGCTATAGCTTCATATTAGATATAGCACGAATGGATCTGCTCGACCGGGGAAGGAGCACGCTATCAAAGAACACCATCGTAAAATAGCAGCTTATTGCAGCTGTGTTTCGTATGGCGAGTGGAGAGAACCAAAGATCCTTTTAACTGGGTATGAGGTATGCCATCTGAATCCTCAGCGGTGACAATGTATTATTTTATTTTTAATCGAGTATAGATGTAGACATCTATGGGTCACAGAACCCACTTACCATCAGGAGGGCTGGGGGTTCGTATGTCACATTTATTCTATAAAAAAACCAGTCAGAGTGTAGTCGGCCCCTCGTCATACCATATTCATATACATATACACAGATGTAGATCAAGTTGATAAAAGTATGATTTATAATGATTTCTTATATTTACGCGAACACTACACATTGAAATAATACTAGTTTTTACGGAATTTATCGCGTATATTTTAACTTTTTAAATACCCGACGTTTCGAACGCTTTACAGCACTCATGGTCACGAGCAGGAGTCCTGCCCGTGAACATGAGTGCTGTAAAATATACGCGATAAATTCCGTAAAAACTAGTATTATTTCAAAGTATGATTTATGTTTCGTATAAGATTTTGATCCGACTTACCTGTTCACATGTTCTAAGTACTGCTTGTTGCAGAAGTAGGTGACAAGTATGGCTGTGTTGTTGAGACACTGGATTATGGAGTTCATGTAGCACGTGTTCCCAAGGTTCTTTAGCCCAGTCAGGCCTCGGCCCTGCGAATTTACACCTTGGGATTATATTACAGTCAATAACGACTGGGTCAAGTCAAGATGAACTAATAAATACTCTTGCAAATATAAACCTCTCTTAAAGTTAAAAGACACAGCCTATATAAGTCGTACTGCTGGACACAAACTTCCTCTCATTTCTAAGGTTTTAGGGCAAGGAAGTGTCCGCCGCGCTGCCCCGATGCGTGTTGGCGAACTTCACGTCTTCGAAATATTTTTTTTATTATTTTTCATACATGCAGGTTTCCTTATAATGTTTTTCTTCACTGCCGAGCACGTGGTTAATCAGCACTTAAAATTGCAATCAACAATTTCATTGGTGCCGGCGGGGATCGAACGTACTGTGAAATTTACAGCAAGCGCTTCGCCCTTGAGCTACCACGGTAGAAATATGGATAGGTATACGAGAAATGAGGATATCCGCAGTTGAACTAGAGTAACCGACGTAGCGCAACGGATCCGTAAGCTGAATTGGCAATGGGCCGGCCTCTATATATCTCGAAGAATCCAAAACCGATTGTGAAGAAAGGTTCTCGAATGGCAGCCTCCTATATCGGTAAGCGAAGTGTAGGACGGTCCCCTACTAGATGGAGTGACTACTTGTTAAAAAAAGCAGTAACTCGATGGATTCAGCTGGACCAGGAGCGTGCTTTGTGGCATTTCTTGGAGGAGGCCTATATTCCGCATTCGACCTGTGCTGGACTATAACAATGATGATGATTATAATAAAAAAGACCTTCCTCGAATAACGTACAAAACCCCTATGATAATTCACAGTTTCTCACTAACTCTCACATCCTGTTAGAATAGAGGCAGAATCCGGGTTCGATCTCCGTCGGATCTTGTTGATTGCAACTTTGTGCACTGATTTGTTTATTTACAACGTTCTCGACAGTGATGAAACACATCGTCGGGAAACCGGCATGACTGAACAATAAAATATTTTGAGGGTTTATGAAGATCATCAACACGGCATCTGCAATTCCCCTGGTGCTGCAGTTGGTTCATAGATGGCGATTGATACTTACCATCGATTGTCTTATCCCCAACTGATTGTCTGATAGGGGGATATTTGTGTAAGAATATCCACTACCCCTGTTAAAATAAATATCATCCCGCGGGTGTCGTAAGGATAACAAATCAGAAGACGGGCAGTAGCGTCTTCATAATAACGACTAAAAATAACAAACCGCGGTTGCCAACCCGCTTGCCAAGCATGGCAACTATGGTTAATATTGCTCCTATGGGGCAATCTATGGGGGAGGCCCATGTTCAGCAGTGGGCTTTAATAGGCTATAACTCTAATGAGGTTTAGCTTAATGCAATAGACCTACTTATGTACTTACCCGCTTGAACAGCCAGACAATGTGATTCTGCGAGTACTTGAGCCTGACTTTCACCTTCAGCGCCATGCTAGCTGTGTCCAGCGGGATGCATCTTTGCTCGTAGCGGAGAATTTTGATTGTTGCGATAACTTGTTACTTCGATATATTTAACTTAAGTTTATAATTCAAATGATTATTTTGAGTAACTTTTTAGTTCTTACCTAAACGTATAGTAGTGAATGTTGGCTGTGACAGAAGAATCAGAGTTATATTAATGCTGAAGAAATTATGTCATTAAGAAGTATTATAGAGTGAGAAACGAGAAAAGTGTTTTTTCCAAGATGTCGTGACCAGAATTAAGAAAGAAATGCTTCGGTGGTTTGGACACGTAAAAAAAGTTTAAAAATACTAGTTCTAGACGCTCATTAACAATTAGGAGTATAACGAAAATGGGCTAAATTAAGAGCACATTTAATAAATGTAAAAAACGATCGTGCAAAAGAAGTCCTTGTCTCTGCCTAATCTTTTGGTTAACAGGCGTAAGAATTTATGAAATGATACAAATAACTTCTACAAAACGTTTTGATTTTATAAATAGTTTTTTATTAAATACTTCTCAAATCTCTAATGAATATATTCCCTTACTTACGTATTATGTATTGAACTTGATTACTCCTTGTTGCGTTTATAATTAAATTACTTAATAAAGTCTAACGTATAGTTGTTCTAAGTTTTATGACGTTTATTTATTAGATTAATAATATCATTTGATTCAAAAGTGTTTTATTTTAGATTTACTATTTTATTCAATTGATAGCACTATCTTAATTGATATGAAGATATCGTCTAGACTTTAAGATGATTGAAGATTTTTCCACATTAGAACCAATCAGTTTTCTTGTATTTCGACAATGGAAACACCAACACGAGGAGCACAATCAGGTAAAACATGAACACGGTGGAAATCACTGTCGCGAGCATTTGTTTGGATGTTCTCATAAGCGGTTTTGGTCACCGACGTCCAGACGTGTCGACAATCGTAACAGCACTAAGGTACACGTGTGTCGGTTCAACAAGGTGACTGCGAGAGGGTGGAGGGTGACAATTAGGGTGACTACGCGCGTGTAGCAAACGCAGTACGCTTTTCCAGTTTTGTTTACAACATTTAAAAAAGTGGCATCACAAGGGTTTGGCATTTACTTCAAAGATACGTAGTTAGTGAGTTACTATTCGTAATTGTTGTCAACTAGGACGAGAACTCTTAACAGCAATCTTATGTTTTTTTTTTATATAGAAGAGAGGGCACACGTACATGCTGCTCACCTGATGGTAAGTGACTACCGCCGCCCATGAATAACTGCAACACCACGGGAATAGCCGGCCTTTTAAAAAGTAGTAAACCCGTTTCTTAAAGATCCCTAAGTCGCATCGAACCGAAAAAATAGCTGGTGTTATACGATTCCACAAAGAAGTCGTGCGGGGAGAAATCTTAAATGTGCCATACCACTACCAGAAACCCTCTCAGAAATAAGAAGAGAGAAATAAGAAGATGCTCAACATCGGGACATTCGGGCCCCGAATATCGACTCCCGCATGGAACAAATGTTTGCATGGCCTACAAATATTTGTTCCAGGTGTGTATGTGTGTTCTTGTGTCATTTATATACGTAAAATTCGAGTGTTCGAAGGTGACAGCAAACCAACAAAATTAAGACAAGCAAGAAGGGTAGGCAAAAAACTGATTGCGTGTTTTTCTTGCAGACAGGTCGAGTCTACAGGACCCCATTTGATAAGCAAGACAGTTCATGCTGAGCGGTACACCACCATTTGTTTGCCCTGTGTCTTTGAAAAAGTTAGGGAAGAACTATCAAGAATTTACATGCTATTGCACCACACTTTAACGCACACCGTGAAATAGACAAAATCGTTATAGGATTCTGAAAAGGTGAAGCTCGTGACCCATCTCGCACACAGTCCAGACATCGCACCTTTATTTTCCCAAATAAAAAGATTCGATTAGAAGTTTGACATTTATGGAGCCAGAAGATGCCGTGATAGCTTGCAATCATCACGTAAAAACATGCCTTCAGACCAATGGTCCTCATGTTTTCGAAAATTGTTTGAACAAGTGATTTATAAAATGTAAAACTTTTAAAATATCTCATGTAACCTAAATTTTAGGCAAACCAGGGACTCCATGATCATTTGTCTACCACTAGGCCAGTGGGGTAGACATGAGGGGAAGTGGGATAATAATATAAGTTTATTTACTACTATCTCACAAATAATAATGGAAGTTTTATACAGCTCCAATTTCATGGTCACCGTAAATGGTGAAAACAACGGGTATATTATACATAACAAATATAGGAGGGAGGGAACTGCGATATCGTTTGATTGATTGTTGGGCCTTTGGCCACTGTACACTTGAGGTGTTTTGTTGATGTTTGCACAGCCTTGCGCTTTCAACGTTTAAAACTCTCCTGCTGCACGAGGCTTCGATATATATAATTTGTTTAAATACTTTAAACCGTTGCCCATCTTAAACACGTTTTATACGTGGTAGGGCGATACGACAGCTATATTATAGTTGTAGCACGAATGGTCGGCTTGACCGGGGTAGGACCACGCTCTCTCAGAATACCAGCGTAAAATATCAGCTTAATGCTGCTGTGTTTCGTATGGTGAGTGCAGAGACCCGGAAACCCCTTTTACTAGAAACGAAGCATTCCATCTGAGTCCTGATGGGTGACGACGTATCTGCATTTTGAATCTCAATCGAGGATAGATGTACATGTCTATGGGCCACAGCAATCACTTACCATCAGGTGGACTGTGTGCTCGTTTGTCACCCTTATCATATAAAAATTTTTATTACCCAATAAAAGTTTTTTTTTAAATTTTTGAACGTACTATAAACGCACTTAAAGTTAGCGCGCAATACGAAGTGAAATTTTACTTTGTAAGTTCTATCGTATGTACCGAAATGTTAATTACCTACGTCGACAAACTGAAGATATTTAATTTTAATAAGCCAAGTACTTTCACCCTTAAACCGAGCGGTTCAAGGGTGAAAGTACGGTTGTTCTTAAATATAAATATATATTTTCACTATTGTTTTTTAACATACGTAAGGACGAATTTTCGCATCACATTGTATTTTACCCGACTGCTCCAGAAGGAGGGTAATGTTTACTCGTAAGTATGTATGTATGTCTATTTTTTGGCACGCTCTGTCTCCGTCTATAAGTTGTCGTTGGATTCCTCATCATAGTGACATAGGGTATACAAAGGTTTTCTCTTTTCAGTAATTTTTTAAGCAGTCCGGTTTTTTTAAATTATTGTTTTAATCTTTAGCATTGTTTTTTTACTTAATTTGCATAAGTTTGAATGAGGTGGTTGAGGCACCGGTGGGTTGACTTGACCGGGGAAGCATCACGTTTGCACAGAATACCAGCGTTAAATAGTAACATGGCGCTGCTGTATTTTTTATTGTTACTAACAAGAACCGCAACCATATCCATAAATAATTTAAAATATAAGTTATAAAATTATGTTAAAATGAAAAAATGTTAAAAATTTAATAGCACTACTACATATAGATGTATATGTAGTAGTGCTATTAAAATTAGAAAAGTATGTTCATTCGTTGTATTTTAA